TGGTTGTTACCACGCGGGGCCTAAGATGGCGCAATGCTCCGGATCTAAGATAGTATCTACAGATGCAAAGACTCCGAGATCCATCTAAGAAAAGAGAGGGTCGCACAGCTTTCCGCACACGGTAATTTGCAAGGACAGCCCATCATGGCATGCCACATTGTGCCACATCGTCCCACATTCACCGTCTCCCATCCACATACATGACGCTAGAAAAATCCTAGAACGCGCTGTCTATCAGACCAGGCCCATCCCGACAGTGATTCGATGGATGCGTATCCGTCCTACACCGTCGTACGCCACATCCGCCTGTCGCTAGGATTCTCGGTTTCTTACTCCTTTTTGATGTACTTGTCAAAGATTTTCGAGATTTCTCGCGCGCTCTTCTTAGGGTATCGCTTCTGGCCACCCTTGTAGTCGACGTAGGTAACGCCGAAACGTGTCGTGTAGCCTTCGGCCCACTCAAAGTTGCTGCAAGTACACCAAGTCAGTGTCCATGACGCTTTACACGGCGTCCGCGGGACCCCAAGCCCGCAGTGTTTGAGGCTAGGAGACAAAGAATGATCTACCCGGGAGCGAACGCGCAACCGCCATGCGGACAAATAAAGACTCCACCACTCATTGGGAAAAGAAAAGAAACTTCTTGATGACAAGTGGGGGTCAGGGTAGACGTCAAGAAACGGGATTACTCACTCCATGAGACTCCAAGCTGAGTAGCCCCTGACATCGACACCGTCCAAGGTGTGAGCATCGGCCAAGGCTCCAATGTATCCCCTGAAGTACTCGCAACGGAACTCGTCGTCGAGCAACTTCTCAAGAGGGAGATCGTTCTCCCCCTTGAGACTGGTTCCGTTCTCTGTCACATAGAAGGTCGGGCCGCCGTACCTATCACTGAGCCACTTGATTAGCTTTCTGAAACCCAAAGGCATTGGCCTCAGCCAGACGGATTGAGTCTCTGGGCCAATCCATTCGCCCTTCTTGTTCTGGTAAAGAATGTCCATATTGCCAACATGATCTTCAGGCTCAGGCTCAGTGTCCTTGTGTCTAATATAATTGGCGCAGTAGTGGTTCATGCCATAGAAGTCATTGCTTCCCTTGACGAGAGCCGCTTCTTCCGGTGTGAAGTTGGGAAGGCGATCGCCCAGTTGCTTGCGCATCGAGTCTGGGTACTTGCCAAAGTACACTGGGTCGCCGAACCAGCAAATGGCAAATTCGATCTTACGGTCGCAGGCCTCGCGATCCTTCGGGTCTTCTGGATCCCACGGTTCTGTCCAGTCGCCTAGAAACGGCATATCAGCTTGTCATATTCATGCTCAGACGTGAGGCCGATTTTTGCTACCCTGGCACGGCCTTCGATATGCGTGGTATCCACACCTTCTACGCGAGCCACGTGCTGGTCACTTACCATTGAGCGTAATCCCAATCTGGCCTCCATCCTTGGCCTTGAAGTCATCACGGTAGGCCTTGACCGCCGCACCATGGGCAATGAGGAGCGAGTGGCCGACGATCCACGGCTCCCGCGAGCTGTCACCTTCAGCGCTCTTGGTCCGGTCACTGCAACGACCGGGAGCAAAGAGGCCGGTGCCATAGCCGAGAATAGAGCTGCACCAAGGCTCGTTGAAGGTGATCCAATATTTTACCTTCGAACCGAAAGCCTTGAAACACACCCTGGCGTAGTTCTCGTAATCCTTCACGAACTCGTCCTTGTTCAGCATGCCCCCATATCGCTTGTGCAGGTTGTCTGGGAGATCCCAATGAAACAGCGTTATCATCGGCTCGATGCCTGCGGCACGGAGATCGTCGACCAAGTTGATGTAGTACTGCAGACCTTTTTCGTTTACGGGGTCGTTGCGTCCGCCGAGCGGTATGATGCGGGACCACGAGAGCGAAAAGCGGTATGATTTTGCGCCGATATCTTTCAAGAGGGCAATGTCCTCGTCAGTGCGGTGGTAGGAATCGCATGCAACATCTCCGGATTCTCCGCCAGCAATCTTGCCCGGGATGCGGCAGAACGTGTCCCAAATGGAATCGGCGCGGCCATCTTCATGCGGTGCGCCTTCGATTTGGTAACTGCGGGTTCAGAAACTCAGTATGTGACAACAATGTGGCGCCTCCCAAACCGTATATCTCGTTGGCGGGGTACAATTTGGGGAGTGGAGAAATCGGTCCTGAGAATCAGACGAACCTGGCTGTTGCGAATCCCCACAGGAAATCCTTCGGTAGATACGACTGCGACATGATGGTTTTGATTGCGGTTCAAGCAGTCTTATTGTCAAAGGTGCTTACGCTGACAATCTAGAGAAGCAGAGAGCAACCCGCAGCAACGGGACAGGTATACTTCTATATACGTGGACACAGCAAAAGGCTGCGGAGAACGTCCCGCCGTAACCGTCCTCACGCGTCGACAAGACCTTAATCGACGCGCAGTAAGACATATGAGGAACTTGGTACGGCTCCGTCGAGCTCAAGCGGGCTGGACGTCGCCTTCTCCGCCTTCTCAATGGCTCCTGGGTCCAGCGACCCCGCTCATAGTCACGATCACTTGAGTGTTATAGCTTCATCCCACATGACGAAGCTACACTTTTACGTCGATTCTGCCCATGAGGGTCCTCGATGATGAAGGCGGTCAGTGGGACTGCGGCCCGTTGATTCAGCCTGCCTATTAACCTGCTAGGCGGCAGCGCGGAAGTCATCTTGGGCGCAAGGTGATGCTTGGAGGAGTGGGATGGCGGGGTATTGGGTCTGGCGGCCGTTTCCCGCGCGGCCACTCCAGTGCGTGCGTCTAGCATGTCGCGCCGAAGAACATGTTCCTCATCGCCTCATTCGCGAATCTAAGAGCTGACAACGGTCTAAGATGGAGTCGTCGGGAACGATGCTCTACATGTAGTGGTAGTTACGGGGATGGTGGACTGGCAGAGCTCAAAGAAGGCGCTATACCCAGTCGAGAAGAGCTTCCGAATGTACAGTATCTTCTCTCGACAGCTTGAGCTTCACTATTCTGTCGGAACTACACTGAACGCTGGTGCAACCTCGGCGCAAGCAGCAGTATATAATGGGCGGTTTCTGGGGATGAGAAAGCCATGATACAGTATCGAACAGTCGAATAATCTCCACACGAACCTCCGCGATGCTCTCCGCGCTCCGAACCATCCGATCTCCGACGAGACGCGCCGTCACGCAACTGCGCACCGCCGCGACACAAGCCCAGAAGCGCGCAGGCGACATATCCGACGCTTTTGCATCGCTCTCGGGACAGGAGTTTACGCCTCTGACGCCAGAATATGCGGACCTCAAGAGCCGTCTGATCCGGGGGCACGAAGCCGAAGTGCGAGAGTCTTGGGAACGCCTCCTTCGAGATCTGCGCGAGGAGATTCCGCTGATTGTTGAGCGCGGTAGCCAAGTCATCCCCGAGATTGATTTCAAGGATATCGACAATGCGCCCGAGTCTTTCAGCAGTGAGCTGCGGAAGAGAGGTGTCGCCGTCATCCGGAATGTGGTACCAGAGCAGGAAGCGCTGCAATGGAAGGAAGACCTGAGAGAATACATTCGCCAGAATCCTCAGACAAAAGGTACGTCTGGGCGCATCCCGGAAATATACGCATAACTAACCATTCTGCAGCATTTCCCGCCGACAATCCTCAAGTCTTCGAACTATACTGGTCGCGCACCCAGCTCCTCGCCCGCGGCAACCCGAACCTCCTCAAGACGCAATCCTTCCTCATGTCCTACTGGCACAGCCTCAACCCACACATCCCGCTCTCCACAAAACACCCCATAAGCTACGCCGACCGCCTGCGCATGCGCCTCCCCGGCGACGCCAAATTCGCCCTAGGCCCCCACGTCGACGGCGGCAGCGTAGAACGCTGGGACGAAGAAGGCTACGGGCTAGGCAAAGTCTACGACTCTGTGTGGAAAGGGCGATGGGAAGAATTCGACCCCTGGGAAGCCAGTTGTCGTCTGCCCGTTATTTCGGATTTGCACCAGGGTGTAGGAGCGTGCAGCGCGTTCCGCATGTTCCAAGGCTGGTTGTCGCTCTCCAACACCGGTCCCTTCGAAGGCACACTCCTAGTCAACCCATTGTTGGCGAAAGCAACAGCATACTACCTCCTCCGCCCCTTCTTCAGCCCCAAACGCGGCGTCGAGCCAGGCGCGCAAACACCCTCCTCCGCCACCACTACAAACTCCGCCGATTTCCTCGCCTCGGATAACTGGGAAATGGATAAGACGCAAAACGCGTGGATTCACGGCGCAACACCCGGTCGCGGCCAGGAACTGTCATATTTGCTACACCCACATCTCAATTTGAGAGAGTCGATGATCCATATGCCGGAGGTCAGGCCGGGTGACTATGTAGCCTGGCACTGCGACACCATCCACAGTGTTGACAAGACGCACGCCGGATCCTCTGACTCCAGCGTCTTGTATATTCCTGCTTGTCCCATGACGGAAGATAATGCGAATTACCTTGTCCGTCAGCGCGAGACGTTTCTTGCTGGTACTCCGAGTCCGGATTTCGGTGGGGGCGTTGGTGAGAGTGAGCATGTTGGGAGGGTCACAGCAAGGGAGATGGATGAGTTGGATGAGTTGGTTGGGATTGAGGGGTGGAGGGCAATGGGGTTACAGGAGTGGGATAGTGATGCGCAAGGGTTGGGGCCGGGAGAGAGGGTTATTTTGGATCGGGCGAATAAGATTTTGGGGTTTTATGATTAGAAGGTTTGTGAGATAGGAGGGCCACCAATGTACACACCAAATTTTCTCGCGAGAAGACATGAAGCTTGAGCGCGAAGTCCGGAAGAGATGGGAAGGTACAATGTCTTCTGAATGGCATCACTTTCATCATTAGTCCGTGCGCTCTTTCCGTGGTCAGTCTGGTTGCCTAGTTTGTTCCCAGCGCACTTGCCTATAAAATGTAGCAAACGACCTGCCAGACCAAGCAACGCCCGACCACACTGATACCACTTGCACTGCCGCGACCAACTCATCAATATCGGTAGCTGTCCATCATGCAGAATCCTCCAAATCGCACATCCCGTCCGGCCGATCCATCTGCGGTTTCGTTTCTTACAACGCTACCCGCTGAAATCCGTAACTGCGTGTACGAGTTGCTGTTCAAGCGCGAAGATCCAGTCCTGCTTCATAACGCGGATGTTTACCATGCGTCACATCCTTTCCGTGGGGCTCTCGAGGATTACTACAGCGAATACGAAGACGGAGTCGGGAAAGACGAGGCATTCCGACACGACTTTCATGAGGGACTCGCTCTGCTATCGTCTTGCCGCCAGATACACGACGAAGCTTCTGGGATCCTATACGGCGGAAACACGTTCATTTTCTCAAGACTGTTTGATGAAGAGGATTGTGACGAGTTGAACAGCCATGAAGAATACTCCCAGGTCGACTACGCGGCGAAGTGGCTGAACGAAATCGAAACGCAATTCAACCGCCTCAAGAAGGTTGTCATTGATGTAAATGCGACCTGTTGTGAAGGTTTATGTGCGGACAGCGATGTGTTCGAATTCTTGCCTCTATTACGTTTTGTGTGGAAGAACCCGGACTCCCTCAAGATAATCTCGTTCGGAAGTGCTAGCGGAGCACTATATACGCACGAGCCTACGTTTGAAGCGGCCGATAGAGATGGAGAACCATGGGTTGATAGAGCGCGCATGTTCAATAACTTGCTCACTGCCTTCGCAGTACACGACGTTCTCGACATACGCAAGTACGCGTTCTCTAACCATCTCATGTCTGAGATCAGAATACTCCAATTTCCGGAACGGGAATTGGGGGGTGCCGTGGGCATGAGAGATGGAAGTGGGATAAATTTGAGAAAGGTCCTTGTATCAGACGAAGGCAAAACCCTCCGATGGAAGCCGCGGAGGAAGCGCCGCCCATTTCAAAACCTAGCAGTAGACACACGAAAACGATAGCAGGATTTGTACTGCGCCCCCCAGACGAAATCGTAATCGACTTGAACACACATACCGTACGGGGCCTCGACTTCGGTATCGCTCGAACAGGCCTAGTTCCCCGGCGCACCCTAGGGGAGCTTGTATCACGTCTGAACCGAATCAGCATAAAGATGACCAGCAAGAAGCCCGTTACAGATTTTGACGGCTTCAAAAAGTTGGACGATCTCCTGTCCAAGAGATCCAATCATCCTACGGTCCTGGGAGCGATGTTAAGTTCCTGGCCAGAGCCCCATGCACAGACCCTTGTACTGGAAATTGCTCCCGCCGAAGTGACCGCCCTCAGCACTGTCCGTATTGACATCAAAGATTTGATTACTCTACTACGCGACGGATATCCCCACCGTGTCTCCACCATCTGCATAACGCTCACTCCGCCTTCCCACACCGGGGCACCGCAACAAAGCACTACTGTCTCAACAGAGAAATTACTGAGACAGACGTTCTTACTCCTATCCGACTACATACTTCAAGCAGAAGAGGAACTATCTGAGTCTCCTGGTATCAACACCGTGAAAGCTCTTCTCGAAGAACTGGACCCCTTCCCTGAACTCTGGATAGACGGTTACGGCAATCTTCTCCACGCCTCAACTGCCGATATGGACGCTCCATTAAAATTTCCCTATGGTAAGCTCGGCATCAAGGAATTAGGTGTCTTTGGGTACAGCAGAGCTACTAATATGGACTGGATGTATGAAGCGTTTACTTCTAACGGGGCAGATGACGACATTACGTGGGACCATGTTATCCGCGTGTGGCGAAGGTTCAGGAGTACATTTCATTGGGATTGGGATATCAGGACTGTACCGCCGGGGTTGAAGAAGTTGACGTCCGACATTGGACGGTCCGGCATTGGATGGAGATAGTGGCAGCATAGTGGGAAGTGTTCAGCGGGATGACTATGGATCTCTATAGATGCACTGTCTCGTATCCTTGTGTATAATATAACGGGAACGAAGAGTTAGCTGACTACCCGTGTGCGCGTACGCATGCAGGCCTATGACGTGATTTCTTTGTTGGGTTTCATCAGACCACACTTGGTAGAGCTACTGATAGATTAGCCGAATTCTTACGGCCGCTTCTACAGACCATGGAGAACAAAGGAAAGCAGGTACGAGTGCGTGGTCTGGCTGCTTGAAGGGTCGCGTGACTCCTTGCAGGAATGTCAATCTTTAACCTGAAGGTCGCGCCTTCCACTGAGATCACATCTGCCTGCGTCTTCGCATTTTCCAATCCTTTCGCATACAAGAAGATGGAGTCTTGCTACACATTCCGCACCTGGGCCGGAGAAACCCTCACCATAGCCTGCGCAATCGGCTTGGTAGCCTCAATCGCAGGCATCCTAGCAGTATACGACGGCAAACCTGTACCAGACTGGGGCAGCGACCTCAATCTCAACGCTCTCATCGCGCTTTTATCAACAGTTCTGCGAGCTCTACTGGTCGTCACCGTTGCGCAGATTATATCGCAAAGGAAATGGGACTGGTTCAGCGTCACGAGCGCCCGGCCATTGTCAGATATCCAGCGGTTCGACTACGGTAGCCGCGGGGCTTATGGAGCGTTGCTTCTCATTCCGACTGTTTTTCTCAAGGACTTTGTTACACTGGCTGCCGCGGTCGTGTTGCTACTGTCGTTCTTGGTGGGACCTTTCGCTCAGCAGGCTAATGGTACGGTACCGTGTTCGTTTCCTAGCGCTACGCTCAATGCATCACTTCCATTCGCGCATACGGTACCTGGACGTGGTGACTATATCCCCTTTACAGGTGGTTCAGACGGAGGCCCCACAACCGATCTTGTTGCCGCAATCCTGTCCAGCGTCGTATCGCCCTACGGCATTGAGAATAAGATACGCACCAGTTGCCCCACGGGGAACTGTACTTTCAGCAATCTGGGTCCCAGACCAGAGCTGGAGAAGGCTTTCTTCGACTCTAATCAGAGCATGCATTCGAAGGTTGGAATGTGCAACATATGCACAAACGTGGCGTCATTAGTGACAAGCAAGATCGAGAGTACAGAGTGGAGTAACAACACCGTCCACTCTCTGCCCAGCGGCCTGAACCTATCAGTAGGAGCAGGCCATTTCGAAGTCTCAACCATGAAGCCAACTCCCGACCTCACCTGGATGGGCAGTCTCCTAACCGACAGCGTCAGAGAAGCATCCAGATGGGCCTACATCAACGCAACCCTCCTCAACATCGGAAGCACCCCCATCACCGCATCAGTATGCAGCCTATACCCATGCACACGCACCTACAAAAGCACAATCAAAGACTCCGAGCTCCACGAATGGGAAGCCCCCTCCTCAGCCATGCGCCTCCAAATCCCCGGCGCCCACCACGAAGAACTCGACCTACCCACTTCCAGAAACAGCCTCTCCAACACGGAATACTCATACACAACACGCCGAGAGCCGTGCCGCGTAGGCCCCTGGACGCTATACAGCGGCGGTTTCATCCCCGAAGGCACCGCGACAGCGGAATTACAGCTCTTCGACTTCACGCACGAGAAATATTCGTTTGAGAATATGACGTGGCCGGAACAGTGTATATATCGGCAACCAGCCGAGTTCGTCAAAGCGGTCGCTATGGTTATGAATGACGATATTTTCGATGGGTATTGCCAGTCGTACAAGACGTTTGATTGCTTCAAGAACTGCAAAAACAGCGAGTTTTGCCAGTTGGAAAGTCAGTCCAACTTGGCGCATATAGGCGTAAATGCCGTATTGCGGCCGCTGGTGGAAACAGAAGGTAGCTCGACGCATGCCAATGTTACGAATCTTTTCGATGCTGTGGCGAATGCAATGACTAATCGTTTTCGTTTCCAGTATGGTAGCGCTACAGCACGGGATTTCAGCTACGGGGCGTACGACCCACCGCTGGATGTGGTGTATGGGCTCGCGTGGGAGACGAAAGCGTGTGTGGAGATGCGGTTGAAATGGCTTTTGTTTCCGATTTGTCTTACCGTCGCTACATGTGTTCTCTCCGTTTGGGTCAATGTCACGAATTGGAAACGGAGGCATAGCGTGCCTATCTGGAAAGATAGTATCTTGCCGCTGGTCTTCTACGGGCAGAGTATTAAACCGCAAGACGATGCGCCGTTGTCTCCGCAGCGATTTGGATTTGGTAGAGAGGCGGGTGGAGACAGGGCAGACGGGCTCATGGAAGCGAGTAGAATGGCTGCTGCTAGTCGCGATATCATGGTGACTTTCCAGTGGCCTGATAGCCCACGAACGGATAAGTTTGAGGATAAGCGTGGGCAGGGTGTGAGTTCGGCTGCGGCTTTGGCGAAGGAATGTAATGTCGCGAGTGTTCCGTTGAGGAGAATGGATATTTGGGGTAATATTGTAGTGAATGGACGGAGGAATAATGTATGAGAGATGAGACTTCTTGTAATACTTTCGAACTATCAACGAATAAACATGATATGTGTGATCAGCTTTACCACTTTGCCGTTTACAACGGACACTTTCTCTCTCAGCGACAATACGCGTCAATCTGGTCGACAGACAGCGTGTGCATTCCACCAGCGCATCTATACCCGCTATACTGCTTGATCCACATGTACCCCATCGGACATGGTCCCATTACCTTCAGCTTCTTCAGCTTCTCCATCTCCTTCTGTCGCGCCTTCTCGACAGCCGCTAACACCTCGTCGCGACGTCGTCTCTCAAGTTCCGCTGCTATACGCGCTTGTTCACGGATGCGTCGCTCCGCTTCGTCGGCAGCTGCCTTCTCGGCACGGATGAATTCCTTGATCTGCTCTTCGTACTGTCGCTTCTCTTCTTGGAGTTGGCGGTATTCGTTTTCTTTGGCCACCATGGCGTGCTTGTCGCGTTCGAGTTGCTCCCATACTTCGTCGGAAACACCGGCATCGCGCTTGACTTTGAGGATAGAAGCGAACGGGTCTTCAGGCTCAGTCGCGGGTTCGGGCTTCTTTTCCGTTGGCTGCTTGTCGCCTTCCGATTTGTCCGTATTGGTCCCGGCTGTTGGTGGTGGGGCTGCGGTATTTGTCGAGGTGTTTGGGCCTTGCGCACTAGGCGGCGTCGGATTCTGAGTCTGTGGTGGGGGCATGGGGCGATTAGGCATTCGCTTTCCTGACCGGCTCGTGCCTGCCGCGGCATGCCGCCGTGAACGTTCGTCTATCATGTCTTCCATAGTACGGATGATAATAGGTTCAGTGAGTACGAGGCTGGTGATGGGAGGCACGGCTGTAGAGATGAGTGCTTGAAACATGCTCTTCGCGAGCGATTTAACGTCGCGAGCGTTACCCCAGGACTCCAGGACTGATAGCCTGCCAAAGAGGTCCAGTAGCTGCTGGCGTAGTTGCGATGATGGCGGATCGATAACGGAAAGGTCAAGCGGCGCTTTCTTCTTCTTCTGCAGATCTGAGAGCACTTTGACAAGAAGCTTCAGACATATTTCTGGGTCGATGTGCTTGAACATGACTGTTTCGGGGAAGCGGCTGGTGAGCCCGGGGTTCATACTCATCAGTCGGTCAATGTCTTTGTCGTAGCCGGCCAGAATGATGACGAGCTTCTGCGCATACTTGGGTTTGGTGAGGCAGTCGACTAGCTCATCCATCGCTTCCGTCGCGAAGTGGCCCTCTGCCAGACGATAGGCTTCGTCGATGAAGAGTACCTTACCCAGGGCTTTCTCCATGAGCTTCTGAACCTTGGGCCCGGTGTGCCCAACGTACTGGCCGACCAAGTCGGTAGCGGAACATTCTTCCACTTTCGCCTGGCTGAGGAAGCCCATGTCGTAGAAGATCTTGCCCATCTTTGCAGCCGTGGTAGTCTTGCCGGTGCCTGGCGGTCCTTTGAAGAGAAAGTTGAAAGGTATCTGCTCGCGAGGGTCCATTCCAAGAGCTTTCATGTTGGCAGCTGTGGTTTGGTAACCCTGGAACTGCTTGATCAGTTCCTCGCATCCTACGACATCTTGGAATAGGGCCGAAACTTCGGTTGCTGCACGAGTACCGCGGTCGAAATCAGGATCAAAGTCGATGGCTTCGAAAGTGCCAAATTGCTTGACTTTGCCCGAGGATATGTGCTTTTGATGTAACGCCTTCGCGCGATCCAGCAGGATATCGACCTCGCCTGCGTTGCCGAAGTTTGGGCGGTTGCGCGCGCGTTGGATGACTTCCATGGCGACCTAGGGGGAAATGTGTTAGTGAGAATGCATCAAAATTGATATGCCATCTTACCTTCTTGGCCTGGTCTTTCGCATCAAATCCAATTCCCTTGAGCTTGAAGTCAAAGATCTGACGGATCTCAGTGTCATTGAAGTCCTCAAACACAAACGCAGATTCTAGCGGGAACCGCCTCGCAAGGCCGGGATTGACATCCCGAAACATGTCTTCCATCTGGTCTTTGTAACCCAGCAGCAACACGCATCTATCTTCACCTGCAGTGCTCTGGACTTCGGCAACGATGGTGTCAATGACTGCAGCTTTGAAAATGTCACCACCGTTAGGGGCGTTAGCTGTAGCTAGCATATAAGCTTCATCGATGATGAGAACTTTGCCGACGGTAGAAGCCAGGATGGCTTTGGTGTTGGCTTCTGAGCCCCCTAAGACATTTCCGACGAAATCTGCTGGGTTTTTTACGATGACTTCGCCAAGCGAAAGAAGCCCAATGTCAGCCAGAACGCGACCGTAGAGTTTGGCTACGGTAGTCTTTCCAGTTCCTGGAGAACCGACGAAGCAACGGTTTAGAGAATACTGGATGATAGGCTTCTCCTTCAGCTCGAGCTGGTAATTGGTTTGTATCCCGTCGAGAAGCACTCGTACCGACTCTTTGACCGAGGCCAAGCCAGTGAGCTTCTGCAGCTTTGACCACGCAGCATTGTTCTTGAGTACTGAAGAAGGCTCCGGCCCAATCAGATCCTCCTTGGTAAGCAGGTAGTCATCCGGCATCGTGCCAGCCTTTCTTGCTTTACGCAGACGCTTGGCTTGTCGCTCGGTAATCTGGGCGATCTTGTTCTGGACTTCGCGGGCGTTACCAAAGCCATCGCGGCCGCGACCACGACCAATGCGCCGCGCAACGATACGTACGTAAAGGCCTCCCATGCCGTCTTCAATCTTCATGCGTCCGGAGTACTTCTTGTCAATGTACTGGCAGAAGATCTGTTGTAGCTCGCGGTCTTCGTAGTCCTGGAACTCCATTCTGATAGGTATGCGGCTCGGAAGGCCAGGGTTGTGAGAGAAGAATGCTTCCATTTGCTTGTGGTAACCTGCGAGAACAAATACGACTTTGCCAGTCAAGTTCTCCATTTCAGCAAGCAGGTAGTCCAGCACTGCTTTGCCGCCGGGACTGTTTCCAGATACCAATTGATATGCTTCATCGATGAAGAACACACCGCCTCCTGCTTGGAGTATCTCGTCAATGTGGGCTTTGCAAGCGGACACGCCGTCATTCGCGAGAGCCGATCCAGAGCTCTCAATGAAATGGCCACCAGGCAAAGCTCCTACCTCGACTAGGAATTTAGCGTAGTGCCTAGCCACAGTCGTCTTTCCTGTTCCAGGATTGCCTAGCAGGGCAGCACCGAAACGCTCCCCCTTAAGCGATACACCTTGACGTACGACCGTATCAACTTTAGCTTTGATCGCGAGGAACTGCTGCTTGACGGACTCTAGCCCTATCATAGGTACCAGGGAGTCGAGAGCTTCGTTTTCCGCACCCTCGAATTTCTTCTGCCATTCCCAATCATCTCTGGCTTCGCTCTTGTCCCAATCAGGCTGGTCCTCGTCCGAATCTGACGACGTCGATTCGTCATTGGTCGGGCTATCATCACGGTGATCAGTCGTTGTACTTGGCGCTGCTTGATCGCCTTGTCGTTCTGCAGTCCCGGTCGGCGGTATCGGCATAGTACGAGATGTCGAAAATGCTGGAAATGAAACTTTTCCGGATTCCTTGACTTTCTTCTGCAGGTTGCGAAGATCTTGCTTCTTCTGCTCGAGCGCTTGCTGGCGATCTCTTTCCTCTGCCTGCTCTTTCAGAAGGCGCTTCTGGTGCTCCATCTCTTCCTCAATCTCGACTAGTCGAGCGGCGTATGCGCGTTGTTTTGCGTCTCGCTGTTTGTCTAGCTCGTGATCTCGTTGAAGCTTCTTCTCTCGCGCTCGCACTTCAGCCTCGCATTTCTGACAGTGCGCTGGCGCCTTGTCATGACACTTCCTCGTGGTCTTATGATTGTTTGGACATATTGAAGAGATGATGGCTTTGCACTCCATCCGCGAGTGGTCCTGCAGTTGATGACATCGCTGGGGGCAGGTGTGCACACCGCAATTGAGCAATTTGCCACACGGCTCATCGCAGCCGCCGTCTGGGCATACCGTGTCGAAGTGCTCCTTTTCGGTCAGGAGTGCGGTCTTGTCGGGATGCTGCTCGCATTTGACAGGAAACCCATCGTAAACGTGACCATTTCGCTTTAACCGATCCATAAGCGGTACCCATACCTCCTTGCCTTTACGGCTGTTCATGAAGGTGTCTGCGTTGCCAACCATGATCAAAGCATTGCGAGCTCGCGAAAGTAGTACATTGACTCGCTGGGGAGAAAACATGAAACCGATGTCTCCAATGTCGTTACTTCGTGTAAGACATGCGATCACGATATCGCTCTCTTCTCCTTGGTAGTTATCGATGGTTGACATGCGAAGCTTGCGTTTGGAGATGTTCGCGCTAGCTGGGTTCATCAGACCCGCTTGGATCAGCTCATGGGAATCCAAGTCGTTCAATATGGGGTCGTTTTCCTTGGACAGCGTGTTCATCAAAAGATACAGCTGACCCAGATAAGGTGTCAGTATCACGATGTCGTCTGTGCGATAGCCTTGCTGACCAAGATACCGCACGCATTTCAACACCATCTCCGCCTCGTACGGATTCTCTTTACTGGATTTGGCACCCCCATCGCGCTTATCAGCGATCTGTGGGGCGTTGAGCTCCGGGCATGAATGCGACACGAACATGACGTTGCTTTGGAACCCGCGTAGAGCTGGCCGACCTTGCGTCTTCTCGGCATCCTCCAATTCCGGGTATGTGAGGAATCTGACCAAGGACGAAATCTCAGGACGCATGCGATGCTGCTTGCTCAGAGTGATGTGTGGAACCCCACTGAGTACAAGTCGTTCAAACAATGAGACATTGAGATCATATCCATCCCCTTTCTCTTCTGTAAGGGCATAGTTGTTGACCTTGGGTCGAAGCTGCTTGTGATCGCCGATTAGAATGAGTTGCTTCGTTGTCGGGGTAAGAGCTGTCAACACATGGCTCTCAAGGATTTCACCAGCTTCTTCTACGAGGACTATACCAGGTGAAGCTTTCCGAATCTCTTCAGTGTACATTGCAGCCGCTGTGGTAGTGCAGCCAATGATACGTTTCTGACCGAGCACATGGAAGTCCTTCTCTCGGAACAAGCCATCGATCAGACTGCGACACGTGTTGTACTTGTCAGCGAGCGCGCTAATCTCCGCAATCTGCTCTTCCAGCATGGTTTTGTGCCACTGCAACTGGAGCGCATGGCGCTGCTGGGGCGTAAGACACCAAATGTGTGCATAATTTTGTGCTGCATGATCGGAAAACACACCCGCGTCTTGACCCCCCATCCATCTCTGGATAAGGTAGTAGTCATCAACTGGTCTGTTGTTCCTACCTACAACGGTCATACCGTCGTCACCGTTGTCAGGTAGCTCAAACGCATCGAAATACTCCGAATCTTCCGAGAACTCCAGATACGCGAGAAAAGTTTGATAGTTGTATTGCGCGGAATCGAATTCGGCCATCTTGGCTAGTAGAGCATCGTGATAAGACGTCTCTTGGGCTTTTTGTTCGTCGATCAGAGTCCACGTCTCTCGACTCCTCCTGTAGTCGTTTGGTTGGTTCTTCATGAGGAGCGCATGAGTGTTGGCATTGGACTTTGAACCAAGTCGCACCATGGAATCGGGCGGAATACCAGCCTTCTGTATGTCTTCGAGAAACTGATCCAGAGCGTGATTCGTAAATGTAAGAACAAGTATGTTCTCGTTGGTTTGATCGTGTAATATCTTGGCAATGAGTGCACCAATGAAGCTCTTGCCGGTTCCTGGGGGCCCTTGAATCAAGCTCAGCTTCTTCATCAATCCTGTCAACAATGATTCTGCCTGGGCCTGATCGAGTTTGATCGGATGAGTACTCCCGATGACGTCTTGGAGATCATCTTCCCATCGCTCGCGGATAGTTTCGACGATATCTGTCGGTTCAATGCCGGATGTGGTCTCAGCAGAGTCCGGCGTGAGGCTGAGAAGCTGATCATCTAGTGGTAGCTCAGTCATAGATTGTAGACACTTCAAGATGGGCTCATAGGCGAATACAGCGGTGTCCACCTGTACAAAACAGAGATCTGAAGTGGTCTTGCATGCCATTAGAACTTGTCCTAGTGAGCCGACGTCGGGCAGTCGCAGCAGGACAACCGCGGGTTCTCGAGCAAGATAGTCTTCGTTGCGTTCCACTGTGGCGAATGCGATAATACGTCCGTTGCTGATAAGACATCCGATCGACTGATGCTTCATAAGACCCTTGTTTTTGGCGAGGTGCTTTTTGCGATTGTCCACGCCCTTGATGTTGCGTAGCTGGGGGACATCACCGCGGCAAAGAAGCTTCAAAGAGCAGTGTTTGCGTCTCGAACTTGGGCCACAGTCGATGCCAACGTATTCCAGTTGGTCAAGAACCAACTTTTTTCTTCCTTTCTTTTGGCCAGTCGCGATTTGAAAGTCGTTGCGCAGCTCGCCCAGAAGATCCTCGCGAAGCAGGCGGAACTGGTTGTCGAGATGAGTCAGCCCGCGAGTCTCTTGGGTAACCGACGCGATGGCATCAGCGCGTCTGTAGAATGGACGCTCCGCGGATACAAATTCGTCTGGTGTGGGTAAGAGCTTGACTTTGTGTATTTGAGCGAAGTCATTGTCGTGCCGGCCGCCTGGGCCATCGGTGGAATCATCAGCTGTACTGTCTAAGACATGCTTGATCTTGTGTCCCAGATTGCGGACATCCAACGAGTCTGAATTGATAAAAGTTCCGTGCTCATTGGCGCGTTCTGCAACGTCTCGCACATCGGGGATGTCTTCGGAGCGGCTGTACAATAGCTCGAGTAGCAGCCACGCGAATGCGCGAGTGCCATCGCTGGAAAGCACGTGACCATCATGCGCGTTCACGAAGGTGTTCCAGAATGTAGGAGGCTGGACGATCTGTTCGAGGACGCGCTGTAGAAACTGGCCGCCGTAGAGTTGCTTGACAGATGGCTGGGCCAGATGATTGATGACGGCGGTTGCCCAGCCATTAAGGAACGCGCTATCCCTGGTGGTGCGGAAGGCAACGCCGACGGCCGCTAGCCCTGCCGAAGACGCGATCAGACACTCAACACACTTCGACGCGTCTTCCTGGGCACACAACGCCTCCAAAAATCGATTACTGTCGCCCGCCGTCTTGATTTCGCGACGACCATGGATGATAGCGTTGAAGAGTTTCGTCAGCCCTGCGGCACGCTTCGCGCCGTCCTGGTCCGCCATGTATGAGGTTTGTAGCGTGTAAGGTATCGACTGTTGAGAAAAGATTTATCAAGAAAAGCTGATATCTGCCGCTATTCCATCGCTCTTCAGAGGGCGTTTGGTTCTTTTGAGCTTTTTGAATGGGTAACCGGGAGGTCGCACTGGACCCCAGCGTATGCGCGATGATTCTCTGATAACGGGCTGTGCGAATGATTGGAAGAGACTCACAGCTTGTTATGCGGCGAGGCATCAATCTTTGTCTGCCTGCATGTTCTGGTGAGCTCTGGACGAATCGAGGCCTACAATGCATGCGCTGTGCGACCTGCATGTTGAGCAAACAACGCCACACGAACTCAGCCTCGTCTAGGCAGCATGCCATACTTGAAGCCGGCGTGTCGCTTTCCACCCAGCGCATAACTCAGCCTCGCATTTCACAGTTTCGAAACTAGTCAGTACATTTCCGCAATATGGCTTCGTTTTCAGGCAGCAGCAGAGGCGGCTTTGCTCCACGCAGAGGGCGAGGGCGAGGCCGCGGAGGAAGCGCTCCATACTTCGCGCAAAACAGGGAGCAGGTGAAGCCCGATCTCGAGAAAAACCCGCTTGGAGACGTTGTGAAAGTGTTTCGCAGCTCCGATCTGAGCCTGAAACCAATCGACTTGGCGGAGATATCGAATTGCCAACATGTCGCGTCGTACAACTGGCTCAACGACGAAGTACCTACTATCGTCGTTCCAGGTAAGGCTTTTTTTGTGCCTACATGGACGTTAGGCCGCCAACTTTGCACGTTTTCATCTTGCTGTAGTCTGCATGCCAGATGGAGCTGACAATTTTAGGTAAACCTCCGCGCTGGACACCACTCCAGGCTCCACAGCGTTTGAAGGAAGACGACGGACAGTACTTCCGCGACCCCAATGCTGCAAAGTATCCCGACTTCCCAATGGCGCCTGTCGTTCATGCCATTACGGAGACCAATCCCGAATTCGACGCCACAAACACCGATCTTTTCGCATGCGGAAGCACCCTCGGGAACCTCCTACGCTTCGCTCGTGGCATTGACAAAGCCTTCCGGTTCAACATTGAGGTCATCGGAGAGAGTGTCTTCTTCGTTCGAAAGGAGAACGACCCCAGAGAAGTTATCAAGGATATCAGAGGCTTTGGTCATACGTTTCCAGAAGCATACACCACATGGGAGCATAGTGTCAAGGGCTCCGAGACACACCAGCGCATCATACGATATGAGTTTGGCGGCTTGGAGTGTCTTGTACGCTTCGAAAGCGACGGCTACATTGATGACTCCCTAGCAGTCCGTGATGTCGCGCCCGCACACACTGCTGGGGACCAAGATGAGCTTCTGCAAGCATTCCAGCAAGCAGCCATCGGCCGTCCGCCCAGCAACCCGATGGGTAAGCCTGAAGAGATCAAGATCGGACACGGCGGATCTGCAGTACCGCATCACTCCATTTTCGACCTGAAGACGCGCTCAGGCAAATATAAGAAACCCATCGACATGACCGACATCTACCCGGCGCTCTGGATGAAACAGATATCCAACTTCATCGTTGCCTACCACGACGGCCATGGCCTCTTCGAAGATATACAGGTACGAGATGTCAAGAGCGATGTGCGAGCCTGGGTGCGAGAGAATAGAGACGGCATCCGCCGCTTCGCAACACTCCTCAATGAGATCGTCGACATCGCCAAGAGCAGCACAAACAAGTTGCTCGAAGTGTATTGCCCCGGAGCGGATCGTCTAGAGATCCGAAAACAGTATGGCGACGGCGTACACGCGTTGCCTGCAGACTTGGTCGAAAGGTGGGAGAAGACGGAGTTTAATGTCTCCTCCACTCTGGATGATGCTTCGGACGAGGACGATTACAATGACGGTGGTGTCGATCTTGATGTAAGGTATGGATTTGGCAGTGGCTACGACGACTCGGAGTCTGAGCCAGACTACACTGCCTGTTCTGCTGACGACTGTGGGTACTGTGGAAAGTGCACGTACTAAGACTGGCTATCACATGGGTGTGCCTTCATTGTTTCCTCACCAGCAATAGAACATCGACGTATGCTGCTCTATGAAAGACTTGCTTCGGTATACCCTTGGTTTTCGCATACTCCTTCTTGGTAAGGCGACGAGGCTACATCGTCGGCACAGCCTGTTGTGGAGAACTCTTGCTCTAATCGTAGTCGGCAAGATCTTCAGCGAGGGACTCGGTTTTCTGGCGGGCGATGCCGGGCAGTCTGATTGTTTGCGCACTCATCCCACTCACGGCCTAGATATCCATTACATAGCCATTCGTCTTATCCCCTCGACTGAATAGTTTACGTCACTTACCCACAGTCGCGCGGTCGCTCTCCCATTTCCCCTGTTCCCACTGTTCGCCGCTTCGTCTTTAGGTCAATATACGTTCGCAGCTACTTCACCCGCAAGCACGTTCTTTCGCTATGAGGTTGTCGAGCAGGTGCTGACGAAACCGGAACAACAACCGTAACAACAAAAAGACAACACGCTTCTTGACTTCTACACCACAATTATTAACGCTCGCACTACACACAGTATTATACTTCGTCGCTTCGACACATGCGCCTACATCATACATCCACATACTATACTCTCACTTCCATGCCATGGGTAACCGAGACTCCGACAGCACCGCTCCGAGGAGTGCGACTCCACACACAAATGCAACGTCTTCTGCAAACGCGCCTCCTATAACCAGGGCAACGCCTCTCAGCACTTCGATTGAGCGACCTCATGGGGCATACGATCATTTGGGCTTTATAAGGATGGAAAACGAAGCCAGAACAAGATATAAAGAGGGTGTGATGACTAGAGCAGAGGGCCTTTTGCGAACGCGAGTAGATTCTATAATACAGGACCTGGTAGACTTACGACAGATTGATGGACTTGCCATACGACAAGCTTTCCTGGAGCAAACGGCAGCCCTGGGCCTGCTGCCTACTCCGGAATGGATTGTGGAATCACACAGACAGGTCGCGGAAGGCACGCGGACTGGTGCGAGCATCATTCCGCGGGTCAAGCCTGTGCCTCAATTACCTGTGCCTGGACCTCAGCCTCCGCCGACCGAGCCTCCAAATTCGCCGCCCAGATCTCCTTCTTCCCAGCATGGCGGTTCACATGCGACACTGATAGGCGAGGGTGGCCCAGATAATGCAGAACAGAATGACGGAGTACCGGCAGAAGAGAAGAACGCGAAGCGAGCAAAGAAAGCTGAAAAGCGGAGAAGACAAAAAGAGAGGAAGAAGGAGAGTAGGTTGCACCCACACAGACGCCAGTGCTCTCCGATGACTGACAAATATCACAGAACGAGCAACGGCCGACGGCGGTGTGTATCTTCAAGCTGAAGAGATGGACTGATCGGACTTCAGCAGTCACTGACAGGGTGGCATCGATAACATGAATCTAAACGTTACTGCAATTGGCCAGTCCGAACACAAAGACTTCGTGATGCATATACAGTTTGAAGGCGTGTTTCCAAATTCTCGTAGTTGTGATTTCACTCTTGGGGTTCCCGTTCGTCTAGGTAGCGAAGTCGTGAGGGCCACTATCTGCGTCGGAAGACAAAGGGCACGGTCCATTGAGTCGTAAGACTCAAGGCTGCAGTGTGGCGCGATTTTGTATAGCCCCATTTGTTCTCTCCACCCTGGATATACTTAAGGACTTGCAGATTCTGACTGACACCTTACGCGCACTCCACGACTCTGAAACACATTGCTTCAAATCAAGGAACGCCATCATCATGGCGACCAAGCATTCGACCGCCCTTAACGCCCTCACTAAGGCTCATCCTAGAGTCCCCTTACCACTATCGGGCGGCGACTCGAAGCCGGCAGATCCGCGCAAACATTCCCTCGTCACTCTACCCGCTGAGCTTCGCAACAAGATCTTCGAGTATCTTGTCGAGTTCTCCGAGCCCGTCAAGGTCACTTTCCGCCGACATTTTGAATATAGCTCCGAGCGCATAAGCTTCTCGCTCCAACCAGAACATCAGCGTCAGAGGAGCTTGCTTCTGACATGTCGGACTATTTACTCGGATGTGGCTTCGGCTTTTTATGCCAACAACAAGTTCCTCATAGCTCCGGACAGCTACCAATACTCACATCGTAGTCAGACGACTGCGGACGAGATTGCTGTACTGTTTCTCCAGCGACTGGGCTCGCAGGTTCATTGGATCCGTAAAGTCATCCTCGATATTACGAATAAGCCGTGGGCCCCATTTCTCGATAGATGTGCATTCCCGTACACATACGACGTGTTTGAGGTCGGCATAATTTTGAGATTCCTCTGGCATCACCGCCTCGCTATCGAGGTCGCTTACTTGCAAGACAAGAGAGCTTCCCGGGATGTCTGTAATCCTCCAGCGATGACCCGGGTCATGCGGTCTATTCTCGACGGCCAAGTGATGCTAAAGGCATCTCGCAGTCAGATGCTCGCAGTCGCAATCAAATATGACGGCTCCGGCGGGATGTTTCGTTTGGGTAAAGCACCACCTTCTGGCGCACCAAGCCGATTTGCACTCGATCGCGAGCGACAAATCTACAGTTTTGCCACTGAGGATAGTGGACGGTGCCTTACCTTGACAAAGCCAACACCTCCTACCTTGCTGACCTTACCTGTTCATTCCGTACTTTCCAAGATCTTTTCCGAGGTTCTCAGTGAGCGGGAGAAAATCTGCATCGATCTTGATGTGGACACAAGCTTGCCGATCAACTTCACTCACGCCAACAGGCGGTTTTATGAGACCTTTTGGGCAAGCTTGCTACAAGCCGCATCGTACACATTGCTGCTTCATTCAAGAGAGAAGCGCAGTACGTTCACTAATTTTAGCAAACTCGCTCGCATCTTACGTCGTACATTTACCACTCCCGAGGATCCCGGACAAAAGTACCACGGGATATCAGGGCCTTTGCGATGGTCAGCGCCCCATTGGAAGCTCGAGAACTCACAAGAGCTTAGCGTTGTGCTGGAGTTCGACTTAGCAGATCCGACCGCCTTGGAAGACCTGCGCATCAGCGTGCTGCCCTTGCTCTTGGAGACATCTTCGTATTGGGGTGATCGCACTGTCACGATCCGTTCATTAACCTCTACACCGGGTGGCCGTTCCCTTTCCGCCGAGCAAACAATTACGTTTCAAGAACTTCGACTGAACGCTTTCAATGCGCTGAATGACACATTCGGTGAGACTGTTGGGTACGCAGCTACTACGCTGTGGATAAACGGGGTGGGCAAGGTCGTCGAGATAGAGTTCAGTCGTTTCTCTAGCCCATATCGCATCCAATACGATCCGGCAAAAGCATCCGGGGGAGTCGGCGGTAGGAAATCGCACAAAGTGTCCTCTATTTACCCAAAGGACCAGTACTTCCACGGACAAAAGACCCGACACGACTGTCAATCGAAAGATTGCAAGCAGCTGTTCCCATCTCAGTACAACGCAGTAGCGGTACTGGAATATCTCGAAGAGATCTTGATCAGATATGATGTTGAGCATAGACCTGATTCGGGCAATGCGTAAGTATACAGTATGTTCCACTAATCGAATGAACCAACTGACAATTGCTAGCGAAGTCGAAAAGATCATGTTGACACAGCTGATGCCGGTGGAAATCTGCGGTCTCCGCCGACAAGACGAATCGCTGTGGAAGGCTAGGATAAATCTGGGTTTTCTTAAGTTGATGAATAGTTAGTGTTGCTGCTGAGCGTATGGCTCAGGTATGAGCTGCTCCACTGGAGCGAAAGGATCACTGAGATAAACATGACATATGCGCAAGAAGAGATCTTCGTCGATCATGTACCATTGCTGGACATCGGGCGAGATACACATGTGCCGTATATTGTATGTCTGTCATTACATTAGCGATTTCATTCGTGCTGCAAGCAGGTCCGGCCTTTGCGTACAACCTATGGTCATCACTGGGTGTACATACGTCAATATTCTTAAACATCTCACGCTCGAAGTCAAGCTCGTCCCCTTAATCTCAATCCTTTTTCACGCTCTCATCCTTCAAATCGCTCTTCTTCTCGTCATCCTTATCACCAGAACCGCTACCGCTGCCCTTGTAGTGACTGCCTTCTTTTCCTGGCTCAAAAACTGTATTGCCTCGTAACTACTCAGTATGCATGTCTACAAAATCAGGGGCGTTGACATACAGGAAGCGCAATGCGCCCAAGCACCGTCTTTCGTCAAATCAGCCCCTGCACCGCACTCTGGACATTCGACCATAGCAAAGCTTTCTAATCGGGTTTCGGAGGATGGGTAACAGATTCGGTTTAGGATGTGGTTGATGATCAATGTTCGGTTGCTATCTTGCGATAGAGTTTCAATGCAGGTTGCGTGCTTGCGCTAAAGTGAGGGGCATGATGTCATAGACCAATGAGATGCAGCGGAGGCTTCTTGTCAATCTTACGACCACAGGAGTTCCAGCCACTGGTGTATTCTTGGAAAGAGTATGAGAGACATCGAAGAAGGCCCGAAGTTGGGCTTCCATCCTTCCATCAGTAATCTTTTGTGCAGTGGCTGATCTGGCGTGTTACAGATATCTCAGAGCCTGAACGCCGGCGGCCCTGCAGCATGCAAGAAGAATGGCGCATATGGGACTTTGGTTCTGCTACCGCATAGTACGAATGCTACCAGAACTCTGAGTCCGATGTGCGAACCACCAGTTCTCTATCTCTCGACGCGAGTCAGCCGGTATCTAGGTTGTCGTCTTCCGTCGTCTTCCGCCCGTCTTGGCGTCCAATCCGCGACTCCAAGAGTTCCCAACAACCACAATCCATCTTGCTTGCGCAATGCGATCACCCCGAGATTGTTGACTCGCACAGGGACTCTCCATCCTCATGGATGCTGCTACGACTCAGGAACCACAATGCCACCAATGATCGCGCTCATCAGGCTCACCTGCGCATCCTCAGATCCATAAGAGGCCGCGTCGGACACGGTACGCACGTACTGCCGCTGGACCAGGGCCAGAGTCGATGGTATCGCACCGATGAAACCGATTAGTTTACCGGAATGCATCGCCGCGAAGGGAATGCAAAGTTAGATGCTCGATATTTGGTCTAGGAGATGAGCATCTTATCGCAGCTGCGTCGCAAGCGATCGTACAACATCTTCGTACTTCGTACTTCCCGCTCATCTGATGCTAGGGTCGTTGCGACATCAGAAATCTGGGGTCCACATCTGCAACATTCACCGTTGACGTGCATCTACCGCATAAATTTGCTCGCGGAGCTGAACAACTCAGGGGCGATCCACCCGTCGAAAACGAAGCTATTGCTTCAGCTGCTCTGAGAGCCTGGGTTCGTGAATCATGCCACGCGACTACCCGCTTGCGATAGCCTCACTATACCCAGCCGAGCGAGCGCCTAGACCCTGGTCGGCCTAGTGGTCGCGTGGTAAACGGTTCATCCGCAACCAACATTTGACGATGGATGCCTGAGGGCCCCATGCCGTGTCAAAGCAACGGTTCCCTCCCCACCGCATCTGCATTGCGCAAGTTTGTCTCCGCGTTGAAGGATGGAAGGTTTGCTTCGAACTTTAATATTGCTGCAGGTGGTGTAGCCTCCACGGGACATATGGCCGGGCGCCTCATCAATCCACAGTGTCGCATGTCAGAAGGCGGGAAATACGATGCTTGCAGCGGTCCGTATATAGCGTCGATGAGCCGGATCCCGAGGTGCGAAAGTTTAAACTTCCAAGCCTGTTCAGTATCTCTTCACGCCCAGCGTGTCTAGGCTTTTCTTTCTTCTCGTTTGCCTTTTCGTCTTCTCGTCCTGTCTATCGGTGGCTTCCGTTCACGATTTGTCCGTCGACGGGTGTGTGGCTTCGGTAGAATCGCACCATACGAGGATTCCTTGAGTATCTCACGAAGCCCATGACAACTAGTCGCACGTAGCGTGCAAGACAATTGTAATACCCCAGACTCCTTCGTATCCTCACCTCTCTAAACCCCACGACACGACACCATTCGATGGCCGACCCGATGGCCGCGGTGCCATACTCCAACAAAGCCGCCATCTACCTCGGACCCGTCATTTCCTTTGGAATTGTCGCACTCTTCCTTGTCATCGCACGCATCTACACGCGGATACAGAGGACTGGAAAGCTGTTCCTCGATGACTGGATCATTGTTGTCGCAGAACCACTCTCGTTGATTGGAATATGTCTAGCGATTGCATCAACGGCATACGGATGGGGCAAACCAGCGGCATCTTTCACACCCGAGACTCTCAAGCAAACACTGAGGCTGCAGTTTGCGCTCCAAACTGTATGGCTTCTGACGCTCTGGCTCGTACGATTGTCTGTCGCGTGCTCATTACTGCGCTTCGGGACTGAGAGGCTTTGGCGGTGGCCGTTGTACTTCATCATGGGCCTACAAACAACAATCTCTTGGAATTACTTCGTCATCCAGTTTGCGCAATGCACACCCGTCAGCTCGAACTGGGATACCGGTATCTCTTCCAAATGCTGGGATCTGGGCCCCATCGTCATCTATGGATGGGTCATTGCCGGTAAGACTTCCCTCGGCGCTACTCATGTAGAACTCGACTAACCCTCTCGATAGGCATCTACATAGCCATGGATCTCACACTCTCACTCATGCCAATCCGCTTGATTCGCACCCTGAACCGCTCTCAATCCGAGAAGATACTCATCGGTTTCCTCATGGCCCTCGGTCTCCTCGCAACCGCGATAAACTGCGCCAAGATGACAACATTCACCACGTTCGGCCAAGGCGACGTGATGCAAGCTACCATAGTACCTTCGCTGTGGGCCAAACTCGAGGAAGAGATCGGCATCATCGCTAGTTCGCTTCCTTGGCTCAAGAGCCCTGCTGAGAACTGGTTGAAGAAGATCGGCATACTGAAGGAGCATCAGCTCACCAAGCCGAGCTTCGTCGCAGATATGAGCTTACCAACAGTGAAAGATGATACAGAGGATACGAATAGTAATGACGCGGATAGTACGAAAGTGAAGGGAAATGTTAGGGTGGATTCGGTGGCCACCGCTCTGGGTACCAAAGGCTCGAACAATAGCCTGCCAAAGGATCCGAATAGTAATACTTGGCAGGCTGTCTAATCGCGACGACCATGTTACGACTTTCATCTGGGATGCATGCCAAATCTTTGGGCTTTAGCGCGGCGCTCTGGCGTTTTTGAGAGTCTGGCCTGTGACTCTCAGGAATTGAGGAATACACAAAGGCACAGATTGTTTCTTTGCACGATCCAAGAAAAACAATACATATACCTTAATATGAGCAATTCTGACCGCACGAGGTGAGGACTGACTCTCGCAAAAGTGTGAGGAGTAAGAGTTTGGTGATGCCGCACTTCGGCGACATTCGCCCGAAGCTCTGCGAAATCTCGGATTATTACTAACAGAAAACTGCTTACTCCGCATTTTCGCAAACCATCTTCAGGACTTTGCGGAAGCCTTCCTTTTGCGCGTTTGCTTGCGCAGATTTTATCCTCGCTGTTGTTGCAGGGCCTGTTTGTAGGTGTAGCAGCAGGTCTCAGGACTACGCTCTCTCCTTGTCGATGCTAACCTGCTGTCCCTGGATACAATGGCATCAACAAAGATCGTGGACTCAGAAACTGTGATGCCGCGGTCATTAGCAGCACTAAAACGGCACGCGCCATTAGTCCGGGGTGCATGATCCAGGCTCGATCCGCGATGGTGACGTCCCACCGGTCGTTATTCCCTTCTCTAGGTTCTGTTTACCGCGTCTATGCTTTCATCAAGCTTTCTCTCTTTCCGCATTCCCACTTCTTGACATCGCTGCCACTACATCCTAACATTGACAGCGAACAGTCCTCGAAACAACTGTCTCAATCCAATCGTCTTTCCTGAGTAGACGTCGTAGTCGCCGCCGCGTGCGTAAACTAGGCATCCTCCGCCTTCACGATGCCGATATGGGATCCTCTTGTGCCCGTTGAGCGCGTTATACAGCGTGGTCTTGCACGCCTTCCGCAACCTATCAGCCACTGGCTTGGATATCGAACAAAAGCAGCACCAGCTGCTCGCACATGGGTCGTCTGTGTCTGGGGCTTCATCGGCGCTTTCTGTGGGCTTAGTGTCATTCTCGCTATATTTGGGCACACAGACTACATGAGAAGTCGCGCCGTACCACCAATCATCGCTTCATTTGTGAGTTCTCCGACTCTTTGTATATCTGATATTGAAGAGGACTAACATATTCGTAGGGTGCCTCAGCAATCCTCTGCTACGGCGCCATCGACGTGCCCTTCTCGCAACCACGCTCCCTAATCTTCGGCCACTTCTTCAGCGGCCTAGTCGGAGTCATCATAGCAACAATCTTCCAGTTCGACCTCGAAAAAGATCCTTACCCACGACTGCAATGGCTCGCTGCTGCTTTGGCCACAGCTATCGCTCTCGTTGTCATGCATCTGACCAAGACGACTCACCCACCTGCTGGAGCAACAGCGCTCATGCCGTGTGTTGATCAGCATATCTGGGCGCTGCGATGGTATTTCTTGCCGGTCTTGCTGCTATCGTCGACCGTTGTGCTGGTTACAGCCATGATGGGGAATAATGTTCAGCGGCGATACCCCGTGTTCTGGGTTGCGCAGATTCCGCCAACACCACCGGCACCGAAGGCCGAGGAGAAGAAAGATACGATCAAAGAGGGTTCCTCTGATGGAAGCGTGGATGGATCACACAAGGACGTGGAGAGAGGACCTCTTTAGGTTCTCTTCGTAGAAGCATTAAACCGAGCATCTCCATCGTCATTTTGGTAATGTGCTTTAGCCAGCGATGTATTTTGGTCACCATAATAATAATTTTTGTCGTCGATAGCTCTCACATTATTGGTATGAAGCGAAAGAAGTCAGTCACTCGGAGTGCTTACTAAACGACGAGCTTGTGATGCCGAATCTTCCGCAACAGTGCCCATCCTTCACACTTTGACACATGTGTTGATTTGGTATCATGGTTTGTATTAACACTACTACGAATCTACTTAGGTATCTTCATCTATCGTCACTAAATCAAATGCAGCATCAAACTTAAACCTTCTCGACCCACACAGTCCTAGCCACACTCGGCACACCCTCCGCACTGACAGCAAAGAGATACCACGCTCCCGGCAATACGACACCAGAGTCATTCATGATGGGCAAGACAACCTCTTCACCCTCAACCCTTGGCTGGAGCGGAATTCGCCTCTGATCACTGTTGACGTTGTGTGTAACACTTCCAATCCTGATGAAATAGAACTTCACACCGTTGGCCGAACCTTGCATCTTGACCCTCAGCTCACCACCAGGGGCGACGATGCTGTTAGCAACGTTCTCGATGATCGGGCGAGGAGCGCCGGTTTGGAGGTATGCTGGCGTGAAGATCTGGCCGTTAGGGTGGTCGACTGTGTCTTTGCAGTGGTAAGACGGTCCACCGGTTCCGTCATCCCAGCAGAGACCTCCGCCTCCACTGAAGACGGTGGCATCGGGCAGTAGGATAGAGACAGAGTGGTAGTTACGAGGAATGGCTTCAGCGGGCAGCTCGGTAAAGGTCTTGGTTGCTGGATCAAACATCTCGGGGATGAAGACGGGGTCGATGTCTGTGAAGCCCGCAGCCCAACGCTGTCCGCCAGTGATCAAGAGCTTGCCGTCAGGAAGAACGACGATGTTTGCGAAAGCGCGAGGGTGATGCATATCTGCGATTCGTTCAGCGGTCACTGGTGCGCCGACATAGTTGATTTCCATCAAATGCGCGACTGCGAGACCGGGCGCTTGATCATAGTACTGGGCTCCACCTGCAGTGAAAATCTTTCCAACATCGTACATAACGTGAACACCGCACATGGCGTCGTTAACATCGTCGCGAATGCCTGCTGGGCTGACGCCTCCTTCGCCATCGGTGTAGTACCAGTTCATCGCTTTGCTGGGCCCGGCCTGGAAGATAGTGCCGTTGCGCCAGGGAAAGAGCCAGGCGTGGTTGTCCTCGCGGAAGATACCCTCGTGGTCGGTTGTCAACATCGGCTCGACAGCAGCACCAGGAAGAAGTGTCCACGTGTTCTGTACTGGGTCGTAAATTTCTCCTGGCTTTCCACCTCTTGGTCCACTCCAAGATCCACCAATAGTGAACACATTTCCGTTAGAGAGGATAGCGCTGCTCTGGTAGCCACGCGGTACTTTCATATCCGGTCCGGGAGCGAATGTGTTTGTCTCCGGTTGGTATATGGTCGTCTTCTCCGCATTGCTTCCTCCTGTGATCACCAATCTTCCGTCGGCCAAGGAGCTCATACCAGGGCAGAACATGTCGTGGTTGGTTTCAGCGACCTGACGAGTAGTCATCTGTCCGGAGACCAAATTGTACTCTGCGAACTGAGTGAGACCACGTTCACCCCCGAAGGCGTTCGGTGAGAATGCCGAATACACCATCATGCGAGTCGGAGTCGGCCATTCCGGAACGATATAGGCCGCAACGGGAATGATCGGAAAGTCGATTACTGGACCCCATGATCCTTGGCCCTGAGCGATGGTATTTGAGTAGAGGAATGGCAGAAAGGCAGCCGCTGCCTTTGCGTGTGAAAACATTAGATATTAGTGTATTAGAGCACACGATAGGTGCAAGAAGATGAAGGCGAAAGCGACTGTCGGTGGGTGGTGCTCGTATCTGAAGGTGTCCACGATATGTTTGTTTTATATCAACAAACGTTGCTTTTCCCGCACACCCTTCTTCGGATCACGATGCCTGACTTGTTGTGCGCCAATGCAGTCGAGCACGTCCTAATTGGTAGCCGATCCCAATGAACATGAGCCGAGACCTGTTCGAGAACCCAAGAGCTACAACACCAGCTCGGCACATGCTCTTAGGGTAGTGCTATACCCATTGTATTACACCGAGTGGTACTACATCCGGACAAGAACGCGCGATGACACGGCAGCACCTGCAAGTGTGGTAGTGCTACTTCTCGAAGGGTACATTGTTGATGTATCATCGTCTCATCATGTACCGCGTGAGATACTCAGATCGATCCTGTCTGTAAGCTTTACGAGAAAAGGCTCGCGTAAGATAGGGCTGAGAAGCTGGATAGCCGCCATCCGTCTTGGTCGCACCGTAACGCGACTTGGCCTAAGCGTGGCACAGAAATAGTTTATCGATTGTTGGCGGCCGTTGCGGGGCAATACGATTATCGCACGTTGATGACTCTCACCGATGCGGGGTGTGTCTGGGCCGGAACTGACGATGCGTTGGTTGAAGTTTGTGCGCGAGAAAGAACGTTGGGGACGAAGGGGTGAGAGCTCGGCACGTGCTCGGTACCGATGACGTTGAGCACTGATAAGCTTGCGGTCGTTGCGATAAGAGACCCCTTGGCGACGACAGTTTGGACTCAGCACGTGGAATCTCAGGGCCATTTTCCATCACCATCGAGATGGCATTGACATGGTTCGAATACCATGAAGTAACTAAGTCTCCTGGAAGACCCTTCGACGTCATACAGGCTGCGCATACGGATCGCTTTCATTCCGGCTTCAACAACTCCGCCATCTTCATTCTCAACGCCTTTTCAGCTGCTGGCCAACCCTGCCCCAACTTCCGACAAAACAAATTCACATCAACGCGTCTGTACTCAGGCATTTCCCTCAGCAGCAGCTTCACAACATCCCTACACCGAAAGTCTTTATCCAAGGCCGCTAACACCAGCTGATACATCGCGGACTTGCGCGTGAAGTTTACATCCGAAGACTGACAGAGCTCCTCCATAGCCTGGGTGTATATCTCGCGGTAGCGCTCGATGGCCCAAGTCATATGTGGCAGCCGACCTAAGCCGTAGTCTGGGAGCCAGTCGCGACGAAGAAAGGTAGGCATGGATGTGTAGCCAATGCAGCGTGGCACCGCTGCGCAAGCATCCCAGTCGATAATGCCAGTCACATTACCATCTTCATCTACCAGGATATTCTGGAGGTCGAGGTCGTCATGTCGGATGACAAATGTTTCGCGTACCGGCACGGTGTGGCTACCGTACCCAGCCTGGGAAATTTCACCCTGTGAGGGCGTGGATGGTTTGAACGGTGCAGAAGACAGAATAATCCGCATCACTATCTGAACGCCAAGTTCGGTCATCCCATCGCTATCGAGAGAATCCTCAGGCTCGCATAGCCTGTCAAGGCCAGCAGCGAAAAAGGCTTCGCTGGACGCAAATGATCCATAAGACGTCGGCTCTTCCATGTTCATCTTGCAGTGCCACCGCCAGGCCGGCGCGATGAACTTTGGGTTCTTATCTTCCGGATACTCGTAGCTAGGGACGCCGGTATACGGAAACTCGAGTGTCGCAAGTTGGCTCATAGCTTGCGCAAGAGAGCGCAGAAAGGTAACGCGCCTTTGCTCGACCTCCGGCGAAGGGTCGTCGGCCTCAAGGTGCAGGTCGTCAGATTTGAACATCCTGTAGGGTTGACCGAGCCACAGATCCGTCGCCGCGATACCTTTGATCTTCTTCATGAGTATGTACGGCGCGCCTATCGCATTCTGTAGGCCGCCGTCGTATGCGACAACCTCTGGTACTGGACAGTCTGTATGGTGGTAAATATGCTTCAGTAACTGAGCTTCACATTCCAACATCATACGGTCGTTCACACCCCACTCTTTCGGTGTACCGTGTGCAGGTATCTTGAGAACATACTCCTGCGGAATTTCATCATGGCGCTCAATCCTCAAGAATACTGCATGGTGGAACGATCCCTCCGTCCGACGTGTAACACGACAGCTGCCAGGGGACAACTTCCTCTCAGGATCGACGAGATCGAGTACCATTTCTTCCAAGACTGCGCGCGATATACCTCGAATGGCTTTGAAGTTCCGGCGGTCGAATTCGCGCCCCGAGGGCTCGCCGTCGTCGCTATAAACCGTCGCGAGGGTTACTCCTTCGGAAGCTTGAGCCAGGATACTACTTTTTGGTGTATACCGTCGGCGATCACCAGCAAGTGGGACTCTACTGTAGTCGACGTAGTGACTCGGCGGCCGTATTCGATCCACGGTGGTGGCTGAAGTTGTTCGCTGTAGGAAGACACTGGAGCGAGTCAATGGTACCGCTTCTTCTGATGCACCATGGACGGTTCCCCTCCCCCATACCCAGGATGACCGAGGCCGTGGAGTCTTTACGCTCGTTCCCAAACGTGAGCTCAGCATCCGTTTGAGCCCTCCTGGTTTCGGTCGCGCGCTACCATCGTCTAACGAAAGTCTGGAATTTGTTCGTAACAGAGGCCACCGCTTGTTTCGCACTCTGTCCCATACCGAAGGTCGTGTAGTGGGTATCGCAGTCTCTCTAGGCATGGTTTGGATTCTTGCGCCGGTGTGGTTGCGTCGGCTTGGATGAGAGTAGAGAAACACTGTGGTTGAACGCGTGGCGAAGAGAAGTCGGGGGTCCGAACTTGGGTGAATGCTTTGGTCTACACGCCTAGCCCAAGGCTATACCTTCTGTCACATGACCATTATGGTCCGTGCAGGTTTGCGTATGGCCCTCACGACTTCGCTACCCAGACGCACGGGAACTCCCAGAGTGACATCACGACCGCATGCGCGCCTCAAAAGACCATTATGCTGCCGTAGAGAACAAATTCTCATTAAATCGTGTAGTCACCTCAGCACAGCTATACCTAGGCATATTCGACTACGCACCGCGATCCGCTATCCCACCAACACCTTTCCTTTTCCATGCGCTACACCCCATTCTCCCTTGTTCTTCGCTTTTCTACGAGCTCTGCCGGACAATCAAAGTCGGCCTTCGACTGACCAGAGCGAGCCGTCGTCCGCCGTCCTCAGCGGTGAACCTGTGGTATTGATCGCAAGCAGGTATTATTACCCGAGGCCAGCGGTCAAAGTCGTCAGCCTCTCTCCAGCCAAATGCGCCTCCGGTGCCATCGTAGTCAATTGCGACTGACGCGATATGGCGCCGAGACGCCTTGAGCATCAGCTGGCCTTCGAGAATGGACTTTGTAATAGCCGTTATTGTTCTAGGATCGAAATAACGTCGTCGGTCGTTTGCGGACACGGTGTTGGTGAAAGTGATTTCTATTTTAAGGTCATAGTGCCAAAGGAAGTGAAGTAATCGTCCGATGTGAAAAGCCTCGGGTCTTTGCTGGTTGTATAGCCTGAAGCTTACACGTCTGTCCAAGACCCCTTTGGAGAGATCGATGGAGAACTTATGGTGCCAGTACACTTGAGACCCCAGTTTCTGGAGCCATGCCATGTAGACATCTAGAAGATATTCGATGGTATCAAGGTTTCTGAGATTGGCCTGAACGATAACGAAGGTGTTGCTGGCGTAGAACAGTGAAGCTGCTTCGAGGTAGGTAGTTCGACACGCCAGAAACAGGTTCCTGGGCATTTTGAATCCTGCACCAAGATAGAATTTGTAGACGTCTCTGGCTGGGGAGAGATCGAGATCGATTATGATTGGCTCTGGGTATTCGACGAGACATCCATAAATCTTGTTTCGAATCTCAGCGGGCAGCTTGACGAGAGAGTGTCTGCTTGGGTCTATCGGCTTTGAGTCGCCTGCTGTGGCTATAGGTGAGGGGATAGTATATGGAGGCATGTTGACCTCTCGTTGGGATCGAGGAGTTGACCCGGTAGGTGGATGGGTGATGCGGTCGGTTGACAGCTCTGGTGTGTGCGAATGTACTGTTGAGATCCGCTTGACTCCACTACATAGGGGTAGAGACTAGGCGTTCCCACACAATTGCTCGCAATGCTGCAGCCTTGATCCCGCGAGTAGAGTGAAACATCGAAGATAGCTACTCCCGCGAAGCTAGAGATGGGCAGCTGTGGCAAGCTCTAATTCTTTGCCTCCGGTTTGTGCAGTGAATTCGGTCATTGAGTCGCAATAGTAACGCGGCGGTATAGCCTTCTGACCTTCACTGGGAGCGTCACTCCAACAAATCAAGCCCCCAGAACCATCCTTCTTGACCGCCACGGCACGCACCACATCGCTCTTCTCCCTAAGCCCCAACTGCCCCGCGAGCAGTGCATTGACGACACTGATAATGTTCTTAGAGCATTCTTTCTCAAAATTCCCCATCCAATACTCCGCTCTCTCTTTCTCCACACTGACATCATCAATATCGATAAGCTTAATCTCAAAGTGAAGACCGCGGTCCCAAGCCACACGTAGCAACACCGTAATTTCCACAACATCCATTCTAGTATCAAAGACCCTCGCCTTTCTGTCCAGATAAGTATAGAGAAATTCACTATCTGGGAAGGTAAAGGTATCAAACACAACACTTCTCACGAGCCCGGCTCTCGAACCCAGAGTATCAAAGAATTTGACGAGTGCGCTGACGAAACACGGGCGCGTAAAAGTAGCAAATTTGCTTGTTCGGTTCAGCAAGAAAGTGTTGGTGGAGTAGAACACTGATGATGCTTCTGCGTTGATTTGTCGGCAGGTTAAGAAGAAGGCGGTGGGTATAGTGGTGTTGGATGCATATGGCACGACTGGCTTGGGCGTGTTGCTTCTAGGATCTTGGTAGAAGTAGAGGCGGATTGGAGAGGGGCGGTGGCAGATGTGGTGGTAGATTTTGTTGCGGACTTCGGCGGGGAGGGCGAGGAAGGATGGGGCTTTGGGTAAGGCAGGTCTTGACTGGTGACTATTGCGAGACGTTGTAGTAGCGTGCATGATGTTTGATTTCGTGTAGAAGATACCTAGAGGATGAATAGAGGAAATGTGGAAGTAAAGAGAACTACACGGCTATTGCTACGGCTCATCGCCCGAGCGTTGCCCACAGACTCATGGCTATGACATGCACTGGACACAGTGTGAGAAGTCACTGCATGCTGAAGTTCATATTCGTTGCAGGAGATGTAGAGAGCCCGATGATAGTTCCATGAATCACAGGCGCACAGTCATCGTCTTAGAGTCATAGCTGGCGGGATCGAAGAGTCATTCAAACTAGGTAATGTGTATCCCGAGAAGTATCTAGAAGTCTACATCACCGTTCTCAACATTAGCAAAGTCTTGTTTTATAGACTCATGTAGACTACAGGTACCCGCTGTATTTCTTCCCTGTAGGAGGTCATCAATCGTTTTCGCAAAGCTCATTCTGCCTCCGCATTCGCCATTCAACGCGACACAAGATACTGCCAGTCAAGAATGCTCGAATCGTCATCATCATCTTTCCTAAGTGGACAGTCATCCTCGCAGGCGCAACAAAGCGGCGGAGCCTTCAACCTGCACTCTGTTAGTAAAACCATCCAGACTATCAAAGAAGCACACGGAATCGCAACTTACGTCTTGAAGTAATTAGGGTAGTACTCGATACTCTTCATGAGATACACCAAAATTTCCTTCTCATCAGCCCTAAAAGGGAAGAACTGCGTATCGTCATAGTATTCACACTCCTGATGCGTCTCGCACTCCCGGTAGTCCCGATCAATGGGGTGGAGAGATCGAACGGAAACGGGGCGGTATACTCCGGACACAATCTCGGAGGCAGGCTCCCAAGCTCCACCCGTGTCGTCAACCGAATCGTGGACAGTCTCAACGATGTCTCCGAAGCCGTTGGTCCAGAAATTGGGTAGGTAGGACTTATTTGATATTCCTGTGAATGCGCAGTCCAGAATAGCTTTGATGACGTTTAGTCGTAGTCTAGTAAGGGTCATGGTGTGGGTTGCTGTCATGGCAGAGGAGCCATCGGGCGTGGGCGTCCATAATTGGATTGTTACTTCATGATGGGGTGGTGTGGTCGAGGTTTCCATTACGAAGGGTAGAATGTTGATACGGATGTCGCTCAGCGTGGCTGAGCTATTTAGATCGAACCTGAGGATGAAGTTTATGCCGGTTGGACGAGAATAGAATTCGCTTGATGTTGCAATAGTCCTCATCGACTCATCAGTCATCGGCTCACGGCTGTAGCTGAATTTAAACGTTTTGCGGAGGAAGCGTCTCAGATTGTCGAAGTTCTGGAATGTAGTACGAGTTTCGCTTGTTGCCATCGTCAGAGTAAAGCGGTTGTGGAACAGGAAATGCGACCTCCAAGTCTCGAAAATCTCTTGGTTGGTATGCAGCAACCCGCAGTTGAACTTGGTTTCTTTGTCGAGATCGATGGCTATGCCATCAACAGGGTTGATGATCGCGTCGAAGATGAGTCGGCGTATGCGTTTGGGGATACCAAGTAAAGAAGCGTGGTTGCTCTTTACAAGCTCGAGTCGAGACCCATCATCCTCCGCCACGAAGGTCGACATATGCTCTGAACCAGGAAGTATTCTAACCAGTTGCGGACGTGCACCCCGATAGTCGTAATTTGTAGTACCCCAGTTGATCATTCCTCCGGTTCCATCTCGCTTTAGACCAACGGCAGCAACTAGTCTTCCATACTGCCGTAGCTTCAGTTGACCCTGTAGAATGGACCGTATAATGGTAGTGATTGATGAAGCGTGGCACCGGAAAACTTCCCAACCCTGATAATTAGCAGGACCAAATGGCTGGGTGAACGAGACATCCACGTCAGCGTGAAGACGCCAGATAGCCCGCAGAAGAGGAGTAACCTCAAACAGCTCCAGTTTCTCATCGAACACCCTTTCTTGCTCCTCGAAGTCATTGTCAAGTCGAGCTTCTCCCATGAAGCAGTCTCTGGATTGTAGATGATCTAGATCCAAGACAATGTTACGCAGCCAATGCGCTTGTGATCCAAGACGGCTGAAAAATTCTCGTGGTACTTCGACAAACGAGCTAGGCAGGTCTGTTGGATGAGGAGAATCGCGCGAAAGTCGAAATGTGTTGTTTGAGTAGAGCATAGTACCTGCTTCGCGATACAGCGTTCGGCACGACGTGAAGAGATCCACCGGAGGGTAAACCTGGGGAACAAAACGAAGTCGCATATCTGTATCGTAGGACGGGCGATGTTGAGTAACGAAACCCACGCTCACTAGTGTGCGAGACTCGACCAGATAGCTGAAGATATGATTGCGGAGTTCGCCGGGTAGATCTAAAATTGAAGGCTTGTCTGGATCGGCGCGCTCCGAATCTCCGAGACTGAGGGGTACAACGGGGTGGAAGTTGTCCATCGCGAGTATAGATGCTGGGGGGTACCAAACGTCATAGTGGTCCTTGAACTCTCTGTTAACCTTGCTTGAAGGTGAGCCTGGAGGTGAGCCTGGAGGTGAGCCCTGAGTTGAGCCCTGAGTTGAGCCCTGAGTTGAGATTTTCGGTAGCTGAATGGAAGGTGGTTGAGGCGGCGACAGCAGTCCAACGCGGTAGGGAGCTGAATTTCAAGTACTCCCCCGGAGAACACTAGGCATGAATATCGGGCGCAATGTGGACCTGGCTTTTCTCAGTGAAACTGCACAAACTTAGGTAGCAACCGACTGCCACTAATTGCGTTGTCAGTAGCTGCATGCGAAAGGAAGGTAGGAGAATGAATGTAGGACAAGGAAGAGGCTGATACGTACGTGTTCATCAGGGCCATCCCAACGGAAAGCCCCTCGAATGAGAGAGATCTCGATCATTGAAGACTTGCGTGCGCAAGGTTATAAGGTCGAGCGCTGTATACACTCATAGCTGTGATATGTACACCATTGCAGGCGATGAGTGTGAATGCGAAAAGACGATGGGTCGCGACCTGGAAGATGGCGCGGTTAGGTGCCCAGCACTCGCTTCACCATCCATTGCACATGCCACGTAAGGTACCTGTCCTTAATCTCGAGCGCGATGGAATGAACCCACTACTTCAATCGAAGACGCCTTGCATCAAAAGCATTCAACCCTACTGTTATTAGTATGCGACGGCGTACCATAACAACTGGACTTGTTTGTCGTTGAGCGCGGTGGGTGGAAAGGTCGTGCTGTAAATGACAGATGCGGAGTCAACGTTGCGGAGTCATAGCACCATGGGCGAAGAGTGGCACCGACACCATGACGCACGTTTGCGAGTCATACACGTCATGTCGCGACAGTCATAGATTTCCGCAGGTATCGAAAGCAATGCTAGTAATCATCTTGCTGTGTTCATTGGGTTTGCGCGATTTGAATCCGCGTATCGCAGTCTACCAGCCGTTGCCCAAACTGCTATGTATTACCCAAGTACTCTCGATCAAGAGGTCTGGCCCGCCACCTGCGGTCGCACAACACAAATCTAGCTTTTGCATCTGCATGGCCTCCAAGAAGTTGTATGAGATATTCCACATGAAGCGCAATTTCATGCGCCATCTCGACCGTAATACCTAGAGTCCGGTTCATCGTTTGCAGAGCAATTTTCGTCGGGGCTTTTGTGCTCGAATGGCTCCGCGGGAAGATGACTGCGAACAGGTCAGTATATGTGATACACTAGTAGAGATAACAGCTTACCCGCCAAGTACAGCCTCATACGGTCCCGCTCGATCAACAATCTTGATGAGATAAGGTAAGATTTCGCTGACCTTGCGCCGGAAAGGGAAGAATTGAGCAACGTCGTAGAGAACCGCCTTCTGCGATAAGATGTCGTCAGATCGATAATGGATATCGACAGGATGTAACCTCCACACTACAAACCCTCCCTCGGTGTTGCCAATTGGGACAAGCTCAGAGGCTGGTTCCCAAGCGCCTCCTACAGGTTCGTCAACGTTGTTGACTTGCACGACTTCGCCGAATCCGTTGATCCAGATGTCTGGTGCCAGCGCTTTTGACTCCAGGTAATAGGTCTTCATCATGACGGCGATGACGTTCAAGCGCAGCTCCTGAAGTGTGAGGGTATGCGAGGTGGCCAGGGTAGAGTGTCCTTCTGTGTCGGTAACCCAAACTTGGATCGTGACTCCGTCCTCTCCGCTAGCCGTTGATGTCTCCATGACTAATGGCAAGATGCTGATGCGGATGTCGCTCAAGGATATGGCACCTTGTAGCTCAAATTTGAGAATGTACTTCAATTCGTTGTCCACTCCTGGACCGGCAAGGACAGTTCGCGTCGGAATGTCGAAGCCATCAGTATGGAAAGTTTTCCTCAGCAATCTCCGCAAGTGGTTGAACTGGTCGAAGTCGGTGCGCGCGCGGTCTGTCGTCAAGACTAGCTCGAAACTGTTGTGGAAAAGCAGTTGATCGCGCCACGAGCGATGAACTTCCCAATTGACATTGATCAGACCACAGTCGATCTTCGTATGCGTGCCTAGATCAATCCGATGGCTTTCGCGAGGGTGTACGACCATATTGAATATATAGTCGCATAAGGGTTTTGGAAGATCCAGCAAGGCCAGCGGCTTCTCTCGTTTGCTTACCTCCAATCTAGCTCCACCATCCTCTGCGATAAACGTGGACGTATAATAGTGGTCGGAAGCAACTCGTCCACGTTCAAAGGACCAGCCATCGAGATTGGGGTTACTGATTCCCCAACTAATCTTTCCACCGGAACCGTCTCGGTACAGGGAAACGGCGCCCAACAGCCGATCCTGCTCTCGTAGCCGTAGTTGGCCTTCTAGAATCGAACGAAGCATAGCGCTCATGCCTGGCGCGTTGCATACCCCACGCATGCTTTGATCTGGTAAACGCTTCTTTTGGTGGAATGAGAAGTCGACTGTTGGCCCCATCTTCCATATCGCACGCAGGAGAGGAGTGATCTCGAATAGCGCAGGTCCGCCGTCGACATCAGCAAGCTCCTTACCACTGCGCCGTGGTGATAGAAGTGGTAAGCGACTTGTGTCATAGTCAAGGTTCTCGAGGTCGAGTACAACCCTCCGAAGCCAGTGCATTTGAGAGCCTATTCGGGTAAGAAAGGCAATAGGCAACTCGATGTCATAGACACGAGAGGCTCTAGCATGCGGAGACCAGTAACGACGGATCTCCATGGCGAAGGTGTTGCCAGAATAGAAGGCTGAAACTGCTTCACGATACAATGTTCGACATGATGCAAACAGGTTCAAGGGGATCCATACTTGTTTGCCGAGACGCAGAAGTAGCGCACCGATGTGTTGGGAAGGAGCGCAGTCGCAGGATCTGAGCCAGAGTGGATTTTTATAGCCAAGAGGACCGCAGGAGCAGGAGATCTGGATTGGATCCTTATGTTCTACCAGGTATCCGAATATCTGGTTGCGAGTCTCGCCCGGTAGATCGAGGATCGAAAGCTTGTCCAAGTTTGCGCGCTTCGAGTCGCCGCGCGCGAGAGGGGGCAGGAGCTTCTGATCGTCCATGGCTGTCGGTGGGTGAGTCGATTGAGATCTCCAGAAACATAGGAAGAAGGTGATCGAGGTGGCGATGGTGCTTGTACCTTCAGGCAAAGCTTGGGTGTATATAATCCAGACGTACGCTAGGCATCAGGACCCTCAACGCAGTGGCAACCTGACTTTACCGAGCCGAGAGGTTTGCTTCATTAGTAGGAAATTTTGAAGAAATGAGGGATCAAACAAGGCACTGCGGCGCCTTCATTGTGTGCTAGCCGTAAGTGACGCAGATTTCTCATCGCGAGCTCGCAACCCTAGGGACGTCGCATCGTCCAGAGCTTCGACGCCATCATCAACAGCGTCCCTTGAAACCAGTGCATCAAGCACTGGTATATGCGCGTGCAAGTCGATAAAAACCCGATACATCAATTACTCCAGGAAGCAACATCTGGTAATTGCGACGTGTGAGGTTTGTCGATAATCCATTGTCGAAGTGACGCCTACAGTCCCTGATTTGCTCCCGAACGCGACGCGACAACGCTAGTTACTAAGCATACACCATGATGTCCCAGCACGTTCCACAAATCATCCTCGCATTGAATTCTCCAGACTCTACTCATAAATGCTGATTTGCGTCTCCACCCGCAGCGCATCCGCCGACCTCGTCATACCTTAACCCATAGCCTCAAATTCACCGACGTAGCCGCCAGCCCATCAACCCACACTACTCAAGCCTACTCGGATGCTCTCTCCACCCCCGATCCTTCCTCGGACAAGCACCATTATAGCATTCACATTCCACAACCGCATTCCGCAATCTACACACCAATTAGCACATCCCCACTTCAAATACACAATCAAAGCCAAAACTCAGCACTTACCCCGTAAAAGCCCCATCCCCCTCCCACCCAGCCCCATCCAAACAACGCACAAGAAACGGCAGCACCTCGCTCGTCCTCCTGCAGTAAGGAAACAGTTGCCACAGCAGACTTTACGGATACCGACAGTCAGGATGGAAGTAGTGGCCGCTGACGTAGTCAATCGGATGGACTGTCAAGTCACGATAGTTTTCTTGTTCTTCATCGTCCACGAACGAGGAGGCTGGTTCCCAGGGCCCGCTGGCGGAACAGTAATCGGCGGTGGGAGCTGTGGTCTGGACGACTTCTCCGAAGCCGTTGATGTAGAAGTCTGGGAGTTCGTTGTCGGAATGGAGGTTTCTGGGGTCGGAGTATACATGGGTCATTATTGCTAGTACGATGTTGAGTCGTAGTTTGTGGATGGTCATGGTATGAGATGTGATCAAGGTAGATGGTGCGTCGGTGCTGGGCCTCGTCCAGATCTGGAACATTACCGTGTTTGTTGCTTGTGTAGTCGACGTCTCCATGATGAACGGCAACACATTAATTCGCACATCAGCAAGAGAGACTGCACTGTCGGTTTCGAATCGAAGAATGTACGAGGGGCCAGGCTGTTGATGCGTCTTGTCAGGCGTAACGATTTGCGCGGTGATGGTGTCCGGTTTTCCAGGTGAGTAGGATGATATGCACTGGTAGGTTTTGCGGAGGAAAGTTCGGAGATTGTCGAAGTCATCAAAGGTCGTGTGCATCTGCCTTGTTGTCATGGTTAGTATGAATTTATTCCCGAAGATAAACCTGTCGCGCCAAGTGTCGTAGAAGTGCCTGTTAACGTGGACTAGTCCGCATCTGAATTTCGTGTCGTGGTCGAGATCGATAGATGTGCCCTCGACGGGATGCACAACCATGCTGTAAATCCGCTGCTGGAGGGATTCGGGAAGGGTGAGCAAAGTCAACGGTGTGCTACGTTTAGTAACAAGCTTGAGCCGAGACCCGTTATCTTCAGCGATAAAGTCCGTCAGATAGTCAGGGTTCGCCTGGAAGCGACGTGTGGGGCCATAATACGGTCCTGGCGGAGGTTGAGTAGTACCCCAGCAGAGTACCCCACCAGATCCGTCTCGCTTGAGAGCGACCGCGCGTAGGTGCTGTCCGTAGCGCTGGAGTTGAAGTTGGCCCTGGCAGATGGACTGAAATACAACAGTCATGGCTGTAGTATCACACGTGGTGCGCAGAATGAAACCTTGAGGACTGTCATCCACGACCTTGTTGAAAGAAACAAGTACCTTCAAGTTTCGACTCCAGATGGCGCGGAGGAGGGGCATAACTTCGAAAATGTCGTCCCATTTCCATTTGATCGAAGGAAATGCAGAACCATTTCCCTCGTAGCAGCTGTGGTCTTCGTACCCTTTTAGGCAGCTCACATCCAGTTCAAGCTTGGAGAGCCAAGGAGCTTGCGAACCCAAGCGAGTAATGAAGATGCTGGCTATCTCGATATATGAGTGGTTTGTTTCGCCTGCGTCATCTGGTTTCAACGTAAACGTGTTGTTGCCGTAAAAAGCTGAAGCTGCCTCGTGGTATAGCTTTCGGCAGGAGAGGAAAATGTTGATCGGGATTCGTACTTCGCCGTTGAGACGCAGATATAACGTCGTAGTCCAACAGTTTATTCCGTGGTAGCGTACGTCAAGCGGTGACGGAGATTTGACAAAGTACTCGTAGATTTGATTGCGGATTTCGCCTGGTAGTTCCAAGAAGGAGTGTTTGTCTGAATTCTCGCGCTTCGAGTCGCCGACGGCGATGGGTGGGGCGTCATAGGTATCTCTAATTGAGGAGCGGAATTTGGCGAGCTCCTGACCCCATACCCCACCATCAAACGTGGATATAGCTTTTGCTGACATTTTCGGTGGTTGAGTAGAGAACCGTTCAAGGTAACGAACAATGCTTATACACGGGCAGGAGCGAAGCCCTAAGTACCACGCAGGAGTCTACCAGGCACCAGCACCCCCAAAGAACCACGATACAAACCAGGCTCTTTTCGAGTGAATGTTCTACCCGTCGTATTCACAGCCCATACCCCCTCAACCACCTCAACTCCCTCGCCTGATGCTCCAACGCCCTCCTCATCTCAACCCCATACTGTCTCTCCCTCATCTTCTCCCCGCCACTCTCTCCCTGCTCTTCCAACGCATCCTCAAAAACATCCCTCGCCATCGGCGGTTCCTTGCCAAAGCCCAGCAGCCCCAACTTGCCGTCTCCCGTCCACAGAACAAGGTTATTCAGACCAAGTGTTTCTGTGGAGGAACCGGAGGGCGTGTAAGGTGTTAAGAGGGAGGCATTACTCGTAGGCAAAATCTTCTGCACAATATCACCCCACCCCGCTTCCTCGTCCGGCGTCGCATTCACCAGACTACTCTGATGCTGTTGCGACACAGTCTCCCCATCCTTACCCCTCTGGAAATCATTGATATTGAACTGCCGCACAGGCGTACTCCCATCCCGTTCAACCCACTTCATATTCCCATCGCCATCCGAGAAAACAAGTCTCGTGCCCTGCGGCGCCACAGCCAATAACTTGGAACTACTAGCCGTCTGCCGATTCTGATAATACGCTTTCTGGTTGCGCGTCGTGCGGCTGTCGCTCGAGTTGATGGAGCGAGACGGTTCGTTCGAGAGACCATACAATTCCAACGAGCCTTTGCCTTTGTATTCACCCGCTGCGATCAACGTATACCCGCGTGTCGATTTCGTTTCGCGCAACAATGCCGGACTGCTGTACGGTCTACCCAGTCTCAGATCTTGTGGTACGAAGGGATGCGGTATAGCCGTGATACACGATAACCGCGCACCGGAATGCACAGTACCGCGTAGTCTGGGGAAAGACCTCCGGTCAAAGTTCAACATACTGGTGAAGCGTCCTGCGACCCAGATATCGCCGTTTCCATCCCAGTCGCGCGTTGTAGGTAGGTGGAGGATAGACAGCGCACCGGGCTGGGAGAGCGAGACGTGGCCGTCGAAGTCGCCGGTGTCGAGGCGCGAGAAGTCGCTGTCGGTTGGGCCGCCGATAAGCTCGCAACGGACGGAGGAAGGCGGTGCGGGCGGTTTGCGTGAGTCGTGGAGGTGGAGCGTCCAGTTTGTGCCGACTGTGAGGGGGGTGCGATGGTGGGCTTCCGAGAGGGCGGTGATGGGGAAGGGGTACGGTGTTCGTGAGACGACTTGGAGGGTGTTGAGGTCGACTTCGTTGAGGGCGTTTTTGACGGCGAAGAAGCCTTTGTGGAGTTTGCTGTCGATGCTTACGCATTCGACGGCACCGGTTTCTGTCATGATGGCTTGGCTTTGTGTGAGGCGCGTGTCGTAGTCGAGGTCTGAGCCTCTGCCTGGTAACAGCCCAATGTCGCTCTTCGCTATCATCTTGCCCTGTCGGTCGCTGCTCGCTGAGGCGTCCCAGATGCTGATGCTGCCATCGTCGAGGGGGGCGATGAGCTTGTCTGCTAAGCCATTGTCGTCGAACAAGATGCCCGCGCCCGTAGCCTCCCTCCTTATGGCCCCCTCGTCTCTCTGCTCCGTCCCAGCATCCTGGAACCAGCTAATCTTCTGCTCGGCGTGCCGCTGTATAAAGTCCTGGTACCAATTCACCTTCTCATCAGGGTAACTAGGATCCCAATTCGCAATCAGCGCCTGCCTCCGCTTCTCCTGATTGCGCTCCTGCTGTGACTCAGCACTTGGCGCGCTTTCATCATGTACAGAGGTATCAAATGTATTGGCGAGGGTGTCGGCGGCGCGTATCAGCTCGGCGAGGCGGGGGTCGATGTCGGTGGTGATTTCGAGACGGCGGCGGCGGCGCTCAGCGGTCGAGTGGGTGAAGCAGAGCGACTTCCAGAGGTTGTTGTCGCGCGAGAGGTTCAGGAAGCGGCGGGACACGTGTTGGAGGGCGACAAGCTCCGAGGGTTCGAGGTCTGGGGAGGGTCAGGGCTGGGTGGGGGATGCGCGTGATGGGCACGGATGCTTACAGGAGATGATATGGAGGATCAGCTCGTCTGGGAGATGTATCATTATAGTCAAAGATGGTTGAACTTCGAATGGTTGCCTTTAGAGGTATGAACGAGTGCTAGGATTTATGTGTCGAGAACAATGGCGGATGCGACACGTTTATCTTTCGCATCTCAGGTCGAGATTCAAGGGCTCAAGGGCTGACGACATGCCGCCTCGGCCCATGACTCGTTGCCCTTTCCCCACACACCGCCTTTCCTCATCAAGCTCACCGAAAAGGGAGGTTGATATCTGAGTATATTGAGCGTGATTTTATCGCGTAAGATTCTTGATTATTACTCGGGTGCTGTTATCAACGTAGGCACACCACGAACCACTCAAATCATACGTGGAAAGATACTCTTGAATGAGGTCTATCGGAAGTTTGAAGGCGTCAACATAGTTAAACCTCATACAAGGAAAAACTGATCAGGTCTAGAGCCTACATCGACGCTATGTTATCTATTTTGTATGCTTTCATATCAATGTAGGCTGCAGGCCAGCTCAGCTTTTTTCTTGTTTGACGTGGTTACATGAATCTCGCGTTTCAAGATTATCTCACTATCTTCATTCCCATATCTCTCTACCTTCCTTCTCAAGAAAACCGTACTCATTACACACGAAAGAATCCGTGCATGGTATCATCCCTATATTTTGCTTCAAGAACGAAAAAAAAAAAGAAGCCGAAATGTCCCATATCCCATCCCTTTGTGTATACTCCCAGAACGCCCCCAACCAATCCTAATACTCATCCCCACGCTCTACCGATGATGCATCTGCTTCTCCACATCCTCGGGCGGCGTCGTCACACTCGGCAACTCCGCCACAGGCTGCGGTGGCCTATACGCCTGATACGGCTGTCCTTTCTCATTTAACACCGGATGCACACTCGTATCCGCCAGCTCGGTGGCCTCGGGATGTGTGAAAGCAGCTTGTGCGGGTGAGTACTGCGGAGGAACAGTATCCCAAGTAGTCCTATTCGGATCGCCGTTTCCGCCTCCGATTCCAACGGCGTCGGGTCCGTAAGGCGTGCCCTGATGACCCGGCTGAAACCCGTTTCCAGACGGCAATTCAGACACGCGATTTGCGCGCCCCGCGCCAATTGGGTTCCCGTCGATTTCTGCGGTCGCGGGGCGCGAGTTGCGGTATGTTTCCTTCTTGCTCTTGTTGAGTTTTCCAGCAGCAGCAGCACCGACAAGAGGACTGTCGCCTTCGACTTCGGAGGAAGGGTCGTGGTAGGGATTCGCTTTTTGTTGGCGGCGCTTGCGGAGGAGCCAGAAGATTATGCCGATGAGAGCGAGGGCGAGGGGGATGCCGACTGCGCAGCCGATTATGAGGCCGAGGTTGGATTTTGATGAGCCGCCGGAGGAGGAGGAGGAGTCGTTGTTGGCGTTGCTGGAACCGGCGGTTGGGGTGGGGGTTACGAGGACGGTGTTTTGGATTGTTACGACGCCGCCGCCGGCGCTGGTGGAGAGGCTTTGGACTACGGAACTGAAGGGTGTGGTCGCGGCGTCGTCGGCCGTTGCAGTTGCGGAACCGGAGTTGGGAGCGTCGGTAGAGGGAGAACCTGAAGAGCCTCCTGCTGTCGTCTTTGATGCTTGGTTTCCTCCTCCTGATCCACCGCCGCTCTGCGCTAGACCGGTGATAGTCGCAAGGTTGGGGGCAGTTGATGCTTGATTTTGGCCAATGGTCGCGTACGCCTTTCCATCCTGAAGCGCGAAGAAGGGCCGTGGCGATGGTGATTCCTTGCAACAGTTTACGTTTACGTTGTCTGCGTTGCAGCACCACTGGTCATCGTGGTCTTTACATTGTGTGATCGACTCGCCTCCAACAGCTTTCTGATCTGCTGGATCTTAGCAATGATCAATTGGAGAATTCAAGGTACTTACCGCCGTTACTGATTGTGCACATGTTCGACGCACAGCCTTCTGCTTTCCAGTCCTTGTCCGTACAGCTGTATCGGCCGTACAGATTGCCGGCCGGCAAGTGGCAGAGACCATTGTCCAAGCATTCCCAGGTATCCGGACAGCAAGCAGAACCCTCTACTGATGAGCAAGGCTTTTCTGATTTCGGCGCTTTGCTACCATCGGGGTAGTCTGTTCAATTAGTTGTTGCTCGGCGATGAGGTCAAGTAAGTCTTACAGCATTGCTGAGCAGTAGCATGTGTCGCAAGCACAGCAACAGCAGCAGCGCGCATCCACCTGAGAGTAGGCATAATGCGCGTGTACCAGAAGGGTACCTTGTTCGGTGAAAAGGCGGTACCTGAAAATACTTCTCGATCCTTGCAGTCGGTGTCGAGATCGTAACTCCCGCGACGTCGATAGTGGAGAAGGTGAAGTGAGAGAGCAGCGAAGCGAGCAAAAGTCCCGAAAAGATAGAGAGAGAAAGCAAGCGACAAAGTCAAAGACACAAGACAAGGAGCAAAGACACTGCACGATGATCGCACGCCCGTTTGCACGCCGCCATCCCAACCCCAGTCTCAGCACCCACCTATCCAGGATATACACCGAACGAAGCAAACTTTACCCCATTCGATCCAATTAAACTACAGTCTCCACAGTCACGCCCCCCTCGGTTGCTCGCAGTCCGTTCGTTTAGTTACCGAGAGGCTGGGCGGGTCACGGTGAGGTCATCGGGAAATACCAGCGTTCCTTGCACTAGGCCCGAGCGGGCGCCCTCGTATCAGCGTGCGCCAGGCAAAGAGGTTGCAAGGTTGCGATGCGAGGTGGTACCAGGGCGGCGATGGCGATCCCCATGGCGGCGATGCGATGTTTGTGGCTGAGGCAGAGTGAAACTAACGCGTGCGCATCCTGTCTTTGATCGTGGAATGCGGACGCAGTCTGA